CAGACTGGGACTGCCCCCAGAAATGTGCAAGGCAGAGGTGACGATGATGCACAGGGGAGGGAGAGGCTGGAATGGCACACAGGGGAGGGGTGGCAGTGGTGTGGCAGTGGGGTGGCAGCAGCGGCAGCATTGGGAGGCAGAGTTGGGACACAGCATGAAGCTGGGGCTGCTCCTGGAGATGCGGCTGGTAGCTGACCGGCGCGGGAGCTGAACTGCCACATGGAGCTGAAATTGCTCGAGGGACACATGGATTAGGGCATGGCATTAAAGCCAAACCCACACATGGACCTGGATCGGGGCATGAGAGCTGAGACACTGCACGTGGAGTTGGGGGTGGCGTGAAAGCCCAAAGCTTAAAGCAGTCCCATGTGTATCTCTCAACACTGTTTTGGGCTCATTTCCCTTCTCAGCAGGGAATGTGTTGGCATGCATGGTGGGCACAGCAGGGGGAGGGGAAGCGTCAAGGAGACAAAGGGACACTGAGAAAGCTCTGAAAAGCTGAAAGGGAAGATGCTGTTATCTCTTTAAGTGTGGGGTGGGGGAGGGATCCTGGAGGAGCGGGAAAGGACACACATTCTCTTTTTCCTTTTTATCGGTACCAGGGATCGAACTCACGACTGCCTGCTTTCAAGGCAGGTGCTTAAGCCGCTGAGCTAAACCCCCAGCCCCAGGACACACATTCTCAAAACAAAGGCTTAAAGATAGAGAGTTTTGTAAACTTGTTGGCAGTGTGATAAGCCATAGATAGGTATGGTTTTTGGAGGGGGGACAGGAAGTGGTCCCCAAGATAAAATCTGGTGTGGGGTCTAGCCTATGGAGTTACAGCCAGATGAGGCAACGGACCATGGTCTGTCAAGTTTAAAGTCATCACCTTTCACTCCAGACCAATTGGTTATATAGTTTCAGAACTCCTAATAATTGGCCATCACTAATATTATGAGTGGATTTCATGTGGGTCTAGTAACAGCTCTGCCCATGAGAATTTAAAAAGTTCTGAAGGATGTGAGAGTCTTTCAGTGTGGGCTGGTCCAGGGAAACTCTGCTTTAGGCTATCCAAACCCAAAGGACGTGAGAGTCTCTGAGTGTGGACACAGGTTGCCCAGAAAGACCCTGTCTTGGGCTGTCTAAGGATGTGAGAGCATCACAGGAACCCACGGAAAGGGGGAGAAAACCACCTGGGGCCTGGCCCAGTGGCAATCTCCAGGAGTTGCTCACCTGTGGTAAATTGGGTCAGTGTTGTTTGAGAACCGGCAGTGACAAGCTTACAGCTCCCAAGTGTAGAAGTGAGGAATTAATGCAGGATGCATTCTGGTCCTGGTCCTGAACAGTAGGGGACTCAAACTGGAAAGCCCCAGGAGTCTCTCGCCTGCTGTTCCCAGTCAGGGAACCATATGATAGAACTGTGGAGGACCAGCGGTGGCTGAAAAGATAAGTATGAAATACAAATGACCTTTATTTTGAGAATGCGGGGAGAGACACCCCCGATTCCCTGGGGCGCAGCATCTCCACTCCAGGGTTAGCGATCTCTCCATGGAACATGTGGAGTGAGGCACATAAGTAGCCTCGGTTTGGGGTGGAACCTAAGGGGGCATTAGGGATGCAAAGGTAACCCATTGGTCTTTGTTTGGCACCATAGGTAAATTCCTAGGGGTGGAGGAGATAGGAGCTCCTTGGTTCCGGCTGAGGCTTTTCCAGCTACAGTATCCGGCCTGGGCCAAAACCCTTTCAGAAACCAGTGTTTATGGTAGTTTGCCCCCTGACACAGTTACATGGACAACTTCAGCAGCAGAGTACAAGGAGTATTCTGGTTTGATCAGACCAGATGGATTTTGAAAAAGTAGGATCCAAGTAAGGAAGAAGTTTAAGGTTTGTGTATGACTAAAGGATGTTTTGTAAGGTAAGTGGAAAAAGCATTTGATGAATGCAGTTTTCTATCTTGCATGCTATGTCAACATGTAGGAATAGGAAGTCCAAAAGAGGTAAGAGAAAAACAGCAAGGAGGTGCTAAAACAAGTTACTTTTCAAAAGAAAAGAAGAGTTGTAATAGTGTCAAATGTAATGGAAATGAAGAGAATAAGAATTAGAGAAATGGGAACAGCAAGATGTGGATCATCAGACACTCTTAAGAAAATATTTCTAAAAGGTCAGCATCTCTGAATCGGAGTATGTGCAAGAATCACACACAGGCTTTGTTAAAAACGCAGGTCCCAGAGCTTCACCATAGGTTAAGGGATGGGTCTGGAAACCTGCATTTTGGAATCTCCTTAGGTGGAATCTTAGATATCAGCTTGTGAAATGCTGCTGTAAGAATGAAGGTAGAGTGACTTTATTGTTTGCTGAATATAAAGTGGAGCTAATAATATTTAGAAGACTTTCTCAAAGTGCAAGAATATAAGCTTAAGGATACAGTGAGCATTATGGTGAAGAAAGAAAGCAACGAATCTTAAAATATTGTCATTATCTCAAAGTTAAAAGACAAATTTAAAGTTTCTGCCTGTTTTCTTTCTTTCAGTTTACTTATTGGCTTCCATTTGGATGCTTCTTTGTAATATAATTAATTTGAAATTAAAGTAAGCTCAAAAACTACTCAAATATATTAAAATTGAAGCTACATTGTATTCAGCCATGTAACTTGTAGTAAATTACGCTTTTGTTACCATCAGATGACCTTCTAAGAACATGTGTAGGAATTTTATCATGGAATACTAATTTCTTCAGGCAATTTCTCCATGTTGATGGAGGTTTTGTGGAGGGGAACAACTGGCTTTTTATATATACATAAAAAAATGCATCAAATCTACTAAGATACCATCTAGTAATTTGGGATGTGTAAAATTGTTAATTCAAACTCAGACACATTAGTATTTTTAGGACTGCTATGGATATGTGACCTACAAAGAGGAATTATGATTTATTTAATTCATTATTACATTCATTAAAGGAAAACTATAGTTCAGTTAAAATTTTATGCGTCTTATTGTTCAAGTACTTTTTGATAAGAGCAGATTCTCATTTTATAAAGCATCAATGAAGATGGATTCTTGCATTTGTGACTTTCCACAAGCTAGCCACTTGGCTCTACACATTTTAAATCTTGCTTTTCCTCAGTGTCAGCCTATTTGTGGCATCAGGTTTTATAGTGTGATTAAAGCCTCTGGCTCTGAAAGTTCATATCATGATGCAAAGTTCACCAAAAATTATGTGTATGTGAACACTCTGTCAGGCCAGTCTCCGGGTCCATGGAAAGTGGGTCTTCTTCAGAGAGGGTCTCTAGAACCTCTGTTTGCTACCTTTATGGAAGATCTAACACTGAACAGCAGGTATGGAAACTGACTCATAGGTGTAGCGAAGGCATGTTTGTGGATGGCAGAGGAGTTCTTATAGGAGACTGAGGAATTTTGAGAAATTTAGTAAGAAAGGAGAGCTGAAATGGTAGTTAGACAAAGTGATTAGCGCTTAGGAGAGGGTTTTGTTCGTAGAGATGACTTTTTTTTACATTTGAAGATGTATATGCAGAAGAAGCATAAAGATGAAGTAAAAGAATGAGAGGAAGAGAAAACAAGATTAGGGGAAGGGAAAGAGGGAGCAGAGAAGAGATCAAGAAAGGGAACTAGGATAGTAATTTTGAGATTGCCTATCACAAATGATAGTCTTCTACCTTTTTCCTTTGACCTTCTTTGGAGCAGATCTAAATTACCAAAGGCTTTCTATGTTGTCTTTGTATTGGGAAAGGGTATCCTCCATCCTCCTAGGTTTTCTGTGAAGAGCATCTCCTGCTAGCACTTGGATGTCAGGCTTTGTATCTGTATCTAAGGATGCTGCCAATACATTGTGCCATTTTATCTTCGGCATTGAACCTGATCCTCTTTTTTTTCTTTTTACTGACAGAAATATTTTTCTGTCCCACACCCCTTCTGGAGAAACTCTTATTTGCTGAATTAAAAATGGGGTATATAGAAAACTTAACACAGATTATTTCAATGTAGATATTTTCTCTGGAAAGCAAACATTATTCTTTGAAACCTGAAATCTACATTTAAATTCATTTGATGACTTTAATTTTTACTGTTATAAGTATTCAATACAATTCAATATTAGAATAAAGCTCAAAGATTGTACTGTAGTTACGGTTTACATATTGATGCTTAAGATCTTTTAAGAGACTTTGTAACTGATGTCTAAAGGTAATAACATAATCAAAAGTGTCCACATTTTTATAAGTTGTATTTTAAAGAGAATAAAACAAAGCAAACCAATAAAATGAAACAAAACAAAACAATGGAAATGATATTGAAGTTCAAAAACAAGACAGTAGGAAATCAACCATAGTTAGTGTAATGTACATCGTTGTCCTCTAAATAGATGCTCAAGTACAGGCATAAAACGTCAATCAGACAACACAAGCACTAAGTTTTTTCTTTACTTCAGTTGCCATCATCCAGAAATTTTAGGTGTGTGGCTTCTAATTTCGTTTACATCTATGTGTCCTTGACTTGTTCTAGGTGAGATATAGGCATGCAAAATTAAACAATATAAGCACTGAGTTGTCTCTTCAGTTGCTATCATTTCAGAAATTTCAGGTGTATGACTTTTAATTTATTTGGTGTCTGTGTCATCTGGAATTGTTCTGGATGGGCTGGAGGTCTGAGATTATACTCTCTCCTTCATTTTGACATTTTCCTGTGTTTCTCCAAATCTGCTGGTTGCTGAGTCCCAGGTGTTTCCTGCATTGGTTGCCCATCCTGAAATGCAAAGGATTGGGCTGGGCACCTGGGTTCCTCCAATCTGAGGTTTCTGGGGTGGTAGCGAGGTGCTGAGCAGCTACTCATAGATGTTCTCCTGATGGTGGTGGAACCCTGGGGGTCTGTCTTCCTCTCCTTTGGGCCCATGATGGGGTATCCTGTTTTCCTCAAGGCCTGCTGTGGGGTTGGGGATGTCACCAGGGGTCATGGCTTCTCCTGTGGACCATGGTGGTGGGCTCACTGTGTGTGTGTAGGGTGAGTTGTTTCTTTTTAATGAGGAGATCATTACATTTCTAAAGTTCTAAAATGATCAACAGACCATAGAAGAAAACTACTTTAAGCTCCTGCTTGAAACTAACAGCTTCAGAAAACTGCCAGCCATGATTCAGGGCCATAGAAGTACCCACATTTGCACTTCATATGCTGCCAAAAATATTCAGAAAAAAAGTGAAAAATTTACTCTTTCATTTGGATGTTTCTAAGTCTCCAGATGTTTGGCATCATGTGGACTAAATTTTAGGTGACTAATTGATTGGGATGTTCTTATTCCACATTGTTTGGCACTGAAGATAGATTCTGATTATACTTTCAGATAGACAAGTACAATGTGTTTTGTGTGCTCACTGGAGACACAAAGCTAATGGTGTCAAATGGCTTTTTCCTGTTTGACTCCCATGAACATAGTTCAGTTTTACTCATGACTTTTACTCCCACAAAAATGCAGGTGCAGATGCTTTATTGTGTTTAAATCCCATAAAGCCTTAAAAGATTTGAATGAGAAAAATAATTATGCTCCAGCAGAAAGCGTTTCATCCCAAGGAATAAAATTTTCCTTTCTTTATTCCAGAAAGTGGGCAATAAAAATATATGAAATCATAGTATTACCAAGCCTGAGAATAAACATCAAAAATGACTTTTATTTTAGGCCAGGACTAAGGGATGAGATTTCAGAAAGAGGAACTTTCAGCTCAATGGTATCTAAATACACTTCCTTACTTTAATGTGTCAAGATATAGAACAGTTAGCAGTATGGTCAAGTAATTTTAGTGGTTGTCTTTGAATTTCCTTTGCTGAGTTAGTTTTTCTGTCAGATATTTCCCAAGTGGGAATGACTATTCATTTTAAATTGATTGTGTATTCTATGGGGTTATAAAAGAAAAGCTCAGGAGACAACAAATTTAGGGACCAAAGAGTTACCACAAAAGTGATATATTAATTTAAAAGACTTGTGCCTGTAAGCATTTCCTTCAATATGTTTACTGACTTCATCCAAATATTGACTGAGTTGATTTTCTGGGACATGTAGTGTTGAACAGGGTAAAAATCATTCATTCCTGTTGATTCTATTAAAGAATATTGGACACAATTAGGAAATTTTATAAAAAGACAGGAAGAAATGGTAACTAGTACAAAGAAATTAATGATCAGCCACCAGTAGTTTGAGACATTGAGACCTATGAGAATTACTAAGTTATTCTTTAGGAAAGAAGTAGAAATTAGAAGTAATTTTAAATCAATTTAATCCTTTTTGTTTTTGCATAACATAGACTGTATTAAGTAGAAAAGACCAAAATAAGAGTAGAGAATGAGGATTATAGCATTTCTTTTATACTTGAGTGATTTTAAAGAATATGATGATATTAAAACAAGACATCAATGTGGGAAGCCGCCTATGAATGGCGCCCATTTCCTGCTTCCGGGTTCTTCCCGGCCTGAACAAGCCCGCCAAATTGTCATATCTGCCCAGTTACCCGTGACGCTAGCCTATCAGCTTGTTAGGCGCGCTTCTCTGTGATTGGATACTGCTTCCCCTTATAAGAGGTTGTTCCTGCCCCCAACGGCGGAAGAGGAAGCAACACTGAGGGTGGCGGACCTTGTCAGGTCCGGTTCGCTGTACGTAATAAAGTTTGAGAGCTGATCCTGCTCGAGTTTGGTCTCCTGTCTCCCGCGGCTCCGACATCTGGTGGCCCGTACGGGGACTGATCACCCCCGAGACGTGGTAGTGGACAACGCTCCAACGCAGAGCTGCAAGACAGGTGAGTAGAGGATAAACCTGGGCCCTGGGTGGCGCGCACCTACAGGGTTTGTAGACTCCTCTCAGGCTCACGTGTAAGTGGTGGATTCCTTGGGCCTCACACGGTGAGTAACATATTAAAAAATGGGAAACATGCTAGGTAGCGGCACTAAGAGTGAGGGTGGTTGCGGGGAAAGCTCTCAAGAGCTTACAAAAGTACGCAGGGTATTTGAGCAGGCCCAGTCAGGGAGCTCCCGAGAGGGGTCCGTCAAGGGGAACAAAGATGCTAAGGAGGAGGATGGGGCTCAAGCCTCAGAGTCGTCTGACTCCGAGGACGAGGGAAGGTTGAATGGTGAGGAGGCCAAAGAGACCAGCTGTCAGGAGCCTAAGTCGCTTGATGGGGAGATGCAAGGCTCTTTCGCTGCGTTGCACCGCGAATTGCGCTCCGCTCAGCTAGGCTTACGAAAAAGCAGAGAGCTTCTGAGCGCCCCCTGGCAGGGGAGGGAGACAGAACCTTCTGCTCCGCCCTGGAACTCGTTCCCGGAAGCGGTCCCTCGCCGCGAGGCTGCCGCATGGGAACTCCCTCCTCTTCCGTCAGTACAGGAAATAACGCACAGGCCGCCATTTTCTGTTCAGCCACGGCCGCCATCTTACGATGCTCCGCCACCGGCGGGACGTTATTTCCACAGACAGCTGTGGCGTGGGGGTCGTGTGTCTAATGAAGACCACCCGTTCCCAGGGATAGATAGCGGCCCCTATGGGATATATCCTGTACAGATGGCCATGGGTCAGGGACGTAATGTGTGGGAACCCTTTGAAATAAAGCAGATTAGAGAACTTAAAAATGCAGTTACAACCTTTGGGCCGACTGCGCCTTACACCATTGCCATGCTGGAGAACCTGTCTTCTGGGCCCCTCACCCCCGCGGACTGGACTCAGCTGGCAAAGGCGTGTCTGCCCTCGGGTAGTTACCTGGATTGGCGAGCCTGGTACGCCGAGTTCGCTGCCGAACAGGCGGAAAGAAACGCTAACCGAGGGAACCAGGGGTGGAATAGAGACATGCTTATGGGGGAAGGCCAATACGCTGATAATCAGACTCAGTTCCCTGGTGCAGTTTATGAGCAGATCAATACCATTGGGCTTCGCGCCTGGAAGCAGGTGAGTGGTGCCGGAACGGCATCCTTGTGCCTTTCTAAAATAGTCCAGGGCACAACAGAGCCATTCGTTGATTTTGTGGCTCGGATGCAAGATGCCGCCGATAAGATCTTTTCCGATAGGGAAGTGGCTCAACCGCTGGTTAGGCAGTTGATTTTCGAACAATGCACAAAGGAATGTAAGGCAGCAATAGCCCCACATCTAATGTGATCAATCATTGCCTGGTGGCTTGGGCCGCATGGGGCAAACCAAAAATATTAAAAACTGATAATGGACCAGCCTATATAGGCAAAGCCTTCAATGAGTTCTGCAAAATGATGGAGGTTCAATTAAAACATGGTATCCCATACAATCCCCAAGGTCAAGGAATCATTGAGAGGGCTCATAGAAGCCTCAAAGAAATTTTACAAAAACAAAAAGGGGGAGTAGGCCAAGGCCTGGCCCCAAAGGCACGATTATCCATGGCACTATTCACACACAATTTTTTAAATTTAAATAATGATAATTGCTCCCCAGCTATGGAGCACTGCAACCCTTCCCCCAACCATAAAGGGTGGGTTAAATGGAAAGATGTCCTAACAGGACAATGGATGGGCCCGGATCCGGTGGTTAGCTGGAACCGAGGCGCGGTTTGTGTTTTCCCACAGGAACCGGGACGAGAACCACTGTGGGTACCGGAGAGACTGACACGGGCAACAAAGCCCTCGACTGAAGATCAGACCTGCCCTACTGGAGATCCATCACAGACCAACCAACAAGATGAATAGAAATAGCGGTAGCCCAAAATGGACAAAAAGATCCTCAGGCATATGCATGGCTCGCTCGCCTAGCCTACGACCGAGTCTAGGGGCGGTGAGCTTCCCACACTCCTCCTCTAAAAAATTATGACATAGCTGGGTAGGAGAGTCAATGACGGGTAAGAGCGTACTCCCCCGGTGCGACTCAACCTAAGCCAGGCCCTACCCCATCCTGCACGTAAGCCGCTGGACTGTTAGATGCTGCCCAGGTCTAAATTTCTCTCCGAGGGGATTTCTTTATGGAGAGGAAATGAGTGCAAGCTTGTGTGCATCCAGGTTCCGTCCAGTTTGTGCCTGGCCATAGAAAAAGGACGAGGGCCTCAGGGCCTTGGCAGACCATGGGACGGCCGACCAGGGTCTAAGCCAAGGACCTACGGTGGGCCTACGCATAGGGCATAAGCCTCTGCACCCAGTCCAGGAAGGGCTACGATGCGCACATTCATAAAAAATAAAAAAGGGGGAGATGTTGGGAGCCGCAGCCCCGAGCCCGGTCGCCTTACTTGGCGGACGTGAGGCCTGTAGGAAAGAGCAAAGCCTGAGCTAGATTACCCCTCCCATCGAGTGTGCTAAGATGGCGCTTATCTCCTGCTTGGTAAACAACCCGCCCTGTAAGATCTCCTGCTTCCTGCTTGGTAAACAACCCGCCCTGTAAGATAGTCTGCCTAGCAACAACTGATGTTAGCCAATCAGCCCGCATCGCGCGCTTTGAACTGATTGGCCACTGTAACCCTATAAAAGTGAGTGCCTCTCCCGCCACGAAAGAAGAAGCACGCAAGGAGCCGCGAAGAGCGGACCGGTAGAGGCTTCGGGACAGACTGTAGGAAGAAGCACGCAAGGAGCCGTGAAGAGCGGACCGGTAGAGGCTTCGGGACAGACTGTAGGAAGAAGTACGCAAGGAGCCGCGGAGAGCGGACCGGTAGAGGTTTCGGAGCGAAGCACGGAAGGAGCCGCGGAGAGCGGACCGGTAGAGGCTTCGGAGCGAAGCACGGAAGGAGCCGCGGGGAGCGGACCGGTAGAGGCTTCGGAGCGAAGCACGGAAGGAGCCGCGGAGAGCGGACCGGTAGAGGCTTCGGCCGGGAAGAATCCCGGGGCAGGCTGTACGGAGAAGGAAAATGGACTTAGTAGATGTCTCAGAGCTTTCCACCCAACATCAGATACACATTCTTCTCTACTGCACTTGGGATGGTCTCCAAAACAAACCATACTTGCCCAAAGAATATTCTTTAGTAAATGCAAAGGAACTGAAATTATATGATCACAGTGCAATGAAATTGGAAATCAACAGCAAAAGAAACTACAAAAATATATTAACATCTTCTGATCAACCAATGGGCTGCAGATGAAATTAAAGAAGAAATTAAACTATCTAGGATTAAATGGTAATGCTGAAAGAACATACCAGAATTTATGGGACACAATGAAAGTAGTC